TAGTTATTTACTTATTGGATATCTTTTGCTGCGAGATCTAGAGCTTTAGGACCTTTCGTCTGCCACAGATGCCACACTTACATAACAAATACTACGCGCGACCCCAAGGGAGCGTTAGACATTTGTTAGGAAATACAGACATGCGGTAAAAATTATTGCATGGTTTTCTTTCCCGTCATCATTTCTATTAGATAGTTTGTACATTTTGTTTAAATGGACAAAAATGTATTTATACATATCTGCGGACCAGCGTTTATGTTATGCACAATTTCGGTTGGTACTATTTCTGTGTGCGAGACCGTGCTCCACAACGGTCGGTGATCAGCAGGTGACGGGGAGGTTGCCGTAGCGGACAACAAGCAACTTTGCCTTGGTGAAGGAAAAGGAAAGATGACATTGTGATCCAAGAGCTGTTAATGTGGAGAAAATGCCATGGGTTGCAACGCGGACCTAGGTTGCTGTGAGTATGATGATAGTTTGAATGCACCGCAAAGTACGTTGGCGGATTCAGTCGCTGTCATGGCTGTCGACGATACCGCTGCTTTCCGGGCTGTCTTCCTTCAACGTGTGTACCGCACCTTTGATAAGTTCGTAAGTGACTTAAAGCGCTTTCAAATGCGTTTCTTCAAACCAGCTGTCCTGACATCGTTGGCGTATAGGGGGAAAACAGGAAAAGAGTTGCCTGAGGGTATGCGGTACAAATTCGTACACTATAGGTGCGTGCATTGTTCCCGAAGATGATACACATGTAAGCGGTAAGTTCACATGTAATGCTTGTGAGACGCTTATTAACTGTATGTACAAAAGTTATGACTGTAAGGCGCATATCGCCACACGGCAAAACGGCTGGTGCTACGACATAATATCCTACAGCGTTGAGCATAGTCATAACTTTCATGTAGGATAGCCCTTTTCTCTACGTCACCAACAGACGGCTCCCGCGGCACGCGGAAGAGGACATCAATCGTATGGTACAGTCGTTCAAGGACACACGCGAGTTTAGGAGGAATGCGTTGACGCACTACGGTAGAAGGTTAAACCGTTACGACCTCCGGACCATAAGAGATAAGATGAGGGGAAAGGTTGAGGGGAACTCGGTGAAAGCTGTGATACATTTGCTTCAGAGCGTCGGCCAATGCAATGTGGAGTATAAGGAGGCGGAGATACCGTTCATATTTTTCGTTCCCAGGTACGTACGTGATCTCGTGGAGCTTTATAGGGAGGTATTGCTGACGGACGCGACACACCAGATGAACTGCGGTGGCTACATACTGTGGCACTGCATTTTGATAGATGTGCATGGTATTGGGCGTTCAATTTTCTATGCGTTGCTTCCTAATGGCACAACGGCAGCCTACATGAACGCGGTGCGCAACATGCGCCTGGTTTTACCAGCGACTGAGACTGCAATGACGGTAGTGATTGATAAGTGCATGGCCCAGGTGCATGCTTTCCAAACAGTGTACACCTGTACGCGGCTAGTATTCTGCCGTTTCCACTTACTGAAGGATGTCACCCGTCGTTGCAACGGGTTATCCGCGAAAAGTGCAACGGACCGGTTGCTTATTAAGCAGTGGGTTCGGAACTTAGTGTACGCTCCCGGTTGTTCGTCCGGTAGTTGACAGCCATTAAAGACGGAAACGCCGACGCGCACAGGTACTTAGTACAAACCTGGTTGCCGTTTGCCTCATCATGGTTAGTGCGCCGCTTGATGTCGACCTGTTTGTATTGATGTTTTACAACAAACCGCGTGGAAACCAAAAACAGCCATTTAAAGAGCGGTCTTTCCAAGCGGAAGTCTTTATTAGGCCTGTTTGCCGCGGTTGTTAACCGCGTGCTTGATGCTCAAGCTCATTGGGAAGATCTGATGTGCAAAACCGACTTATCGGAGCACCCATTAGACTCTTGCTTCCATGGCCTTGGGCAGGCGGCGTTTCAATTTTCAGGGTATGCAAGGACGCGCCTGAGATGCCATTACACTAGGGAGAAGGTGACGGTGACCGAGTTGTCCGACGATAGATGTCAAGTGTTAGGTACCGGTAGACGGTACACCGTGTTAATGCGTCGGGAGGTAACGTGCCAATGCAGCTTCACTCGGCACTGGCTGCTTACGTGCGCACACATTGTGCATGCATTGCACGCGGCAGGCAGACCGGTTGACGACATAGTGCGTAACAACCGTTAGATTATGTCGCACGCGCAACATCCGCGTGTAACCGCATCCACGTCCTCCGCCATCGTCCCCCTACCGTCGAGCTCTACAGTTGCACCGGTAAGTAGGGAACGGAAGCTTCGGGAATGCAGTCAGGTTCTGGGTGATATTCAGGTGCAAGTTTGCAGCCTTGGTGGTGCGAAGTATAAGGAGGTTATGGATAATCTGCGGGAGGTACTACGGAACCTAAGCAGCTCTCACAAGGACGTTGGGGTTTCCGCCTCCGCAAACCTAATTGATTCAGCTGCGGAAGGGACGAGTGAACCTACCAGGGATGGCACAAGACGTAAGCAACGTCCAGTGCCCATTCCGGATTTGTCATTCGGTCACGAGCAGGAAAGGAAAGCACTTCGTTTTAGAGAGTTGCACACGAAAACCGCCAGGGTGTATAAGCCTCCAAGGAAGCGTCGTTGCCATGCAAAACTCCCAGCCAATTCAGACAATGACAAGTGCGCTTCGTGCCTCCAAACTGAATGCGAGGCACAGAGTGGACAGGTGGTTGACTGGGTCATGTTCTCCGCCTGCGGCCTTTGGTATCATCAGCTGTGCGCCTCGTACAGTGTACAGGACCATTTCACCTGCCATCTGTGTTTGTAAGTCCTCCTTTTCATGTTGCTACCTTTTTCCTCTTCTTATAACCGCGCCATTGCTTTCGCTTGATCGTTAGGTACACCCACTGCTCCCATATGCGGTGCCTCCCCTACTTGATGGTTACGTCACATACGCCTACCTCGGTATCGGGATCACACATTATGGGGATGGTCAGGTGTACCTAAGGACATCAGAAGCACCCGCAATTCTGCTGCGTTTTAAGGATACACATTTACTTATACGTTCCTTCGTGACAACGCATCTTCTAAGCAACCAGAAGAAACATTGCGCTTTGCGAGGCACCAGGATAACATGCATTGACAAGGTAAGAAGCACGCTTGACGTAGAATACCTGGTACATGTATTCCTTGCACTCACACTGCCTTTATGATATCACGTTACTTCCCAACTGCTTAGTTATCCGCCGCGTAAGGATGAGTGTGAATGACCTCACCCATACGTGCGTGAGCATTTTGCCTAGGACTGAACAGCTTATCCTTTCCTTTACCTTGCGTGCAGCTTCTACCTACGGTTGCTTAAACGACCACCCGTTTTATGGTCCTGCATTATCTCCATTTCAGGCAGTCAGTTATCACATCAACAATACGTGGCATCCTGATTGTTAGAAGGTACCTTATTGTGAAACCTTGCATAACACTTGTTCCATTCCCCGCTCCTTCCATGCACCTATTGGACCTTATCGCGGTGTTGCTATATACTGATTCTGCGTCACCGCCCCCAACATCTTGTATTTACGCTTGCACACCTCGGGTGAATGCGGAGAATAGGTTCACAAATAACTTGGCCGTTGCGATTAGAAACAGTGGCACATAAGCTACAATAACGAGGGCAACATTACGGGAAGCTGCTTAGACTGGGGAACGTCCCAGTTAATGTACCAAACCCTCGACCACGGCCACTCGGTGTGGTATTCTATACCCCGGAGGAACGCAGCGCTGTCATGCGGTTCGCCTGTAAGCTGACAGGCATAAACATTAGCGTTCTGCCGGAACTTCCGCTGGACAATAGGCTGAGGCTGAGGGAGGTCATGAAGGACGTCGACAGCAGGCGAGCGGCAGGTGAACAACGTAGGATTACGGGGACGGACGTACCCCGAGCGTCCACTTACTCTGGGCATGGTTGGCGGCCTCCGGTTTCGGATTTGCCTGTCACTGTGGCCAGCCACCTGCGCCTACAGAGGGACCATGGGTGGCTTGTGCTGCACCACCCACAGTTCCAAACACACCCCACATCCAGTGTAAACCCGAAGGAATAAGACCGGAA